AAGTCTCCCGACCCTCCAAGTAATGGTTAAACTCTGATCTACTGGGGTTGCGGTTTCGCGACTCTGACACAGGTTCTTTTCAGGGTTCTATACCCCTCGGCCCCATTGTAGTTCCTGCTTGGAATTATCTTTATTTTAAAGAGGATCCTAAATAAAAACCACAAACAGGAACTAAAATGGAGCCTATAGGTAACCACTTTCAGGTTGGGCTTCAGGCTTTAAGTTTCGGGCTTGTGGTCCTGACAAACGTGGGCTTCAGGGGTCTTCTGGGTTTAGGCGTTGTTTTAGGGTTTAGGCTTTGAGGCTTTTGATTTAGGACCTCAGGATTCGTTTTTGGTTTTGCAGTGTGCAGTGGAGCTGACCGTGTCTGGGAAGAAGGTTTAAGGGATAAGGGCTTAGGCCTCGCTCAACACTGCCGGCTTGCATCTCAGCAAGAATCAGGGTTGTTGGCCTCGGGGCCCGAACGTTTATTTTCCTACTGGTCTGCTGTGTGGCCGGAGCCATCACGACTGGATCTGGTGCCCAAGCCCAGAGGCCTGAACTCGAATATCCTTCTACAAGCCCATGAACCCCTAAACCTCTGATAGAACCGTTGTAGAACCGTAAGTCCTGAGATTTCAGATCACAAGTTTCACACTCAGGACTACTCTTTCTAGCATTCTCCTCGAGTAGTTCTAGCTCTACTAGGCGTAACGAAGAACAGGTAGTAACCAGCTATTAGCCACACCCAAACTAAACCGGATTAGCATTGGGGATTTGGGCCCAAGCCGGTAAAACCCTGGTTTTAGTAGTAGCAGCTGTAGGAGGAGACGTTTGACAGTTCCCTTCGACATCTCCGGCGATCCTCTGTCAGAGAGCGGCCAAACCTCACCGCGGGCTTCTGTGCGAGGTTAGGGCTTTCTCCGGCACGCAAGCAACGACAAGGCTCCTCAAGAGTCTATGCAGGTGCAGTCGTACATCTTCACGTGTCAGATACCTAGATGCTTACATGATGATTGCTTCCCAGGGTTACAGAACTACACACCAAACAGAGACTTACTCCCATATGCACGCATGCATACATACATATGTATACTTCAACTACTTCGATGCTGACAAACGATCCACATGTACACACAGCCCTACACAGCGTTGCCAAGATCGACGATTCGTCCGACAGGTACATATTGTGCTTCTCAGATAGCGAACGCTGCTTGATGCTGCAAGGTTTGCCGAGTGAGCGAGGCCTACCAAAGGACCGAACTGTTTTTGACTTCCCAGGTTGAGGTTCAACCCTAAATTTCAACACCTTCACCCCGCAACATAAAGCCCACCAAGAACCTGCTACAACACATGTCGCTATAGACCCTAAACCAAAACTCGAAATCCTAAGCCGTGCTGGCAACCCCAGAGCCCCAAAGTTGCGCCACGTGACGATTCCAGCAGCTTGGGTGCTTTCCTGAGCTGCGGCCGTCAATAGGGTCTGATATAGGGGCCTTAAATATTAGAACAGGTTTTGGGATTCAGGTTTACGTGGTTTAGGATCCTAGGGCTGAAGGTACGGAGCTTTAGGGTTTAGGGCCCCCAAACCCCATAAACTCAATTCCTAAACCCTCTAAACCCTAAAGTTTAGGGCTTCGAAGGTTAGGGATAGCATTGAGGTTTATGCAGGGTCTACCTTTGCCTAAAGAACCTACCTGTTTTTGGACATGAACAAGAAAATCGCAAAAGGGAACCCAAACCTTTCATGTGGCGTTGGAGGAGGATTTGGCTTTTTCGTTTTACCAATTTTGTAGCTAGGATCCCATCAGGTAACCCCCAAAAAGGAACAACAACGGAGCCTATAGGTAGGCTATGTAGGAGTTGAAGCACCTAAAGCCTAAACCCTAAACCCTAAACCCTAAACCCTTTGGCAGTTGGCGTTTAACGCTTCAGGGCCTCGGGTGCGGGGCTTTCGGGTGTCGGGCCTCCGGTTTCGGTAAATTAAACTAGAATCGGTTTAGGGTTTTTAGGGTTTAGGGTTTAGGGTTTTTTGGGGTTTAGGGTTTTTAGGGTTTAGGGTTTAGGGCTTAGGGTGTCTATTCTACTATGTTCATGATAAGGAACCTTTTTGGAACACTGTCCGACCTCTCTCTATATTGGGAGTGTTTGGAACTTGGCATTTCGAGCTAAACCCCTAAACCCCTAAACCCTAAACCCCTAAACCCAAAACCCTGAGAAACGGCTCAGGCCTTGGGGCTTCGAAGCTTTCGGGAGCAGCAGTAGGACAAGAAGAGCAGCAGCAGCAGTAGTAGTGCCGGAGGTTTAGGGTTTAGGGTTTAGGGTGTACCCTAAACCCTAACCCTAAACCCTAAACCCTAAACCCTAAACCCTAAACCCTAAACCCTAAAACCCTAAACCAACAGGATCCCGCCCCACGGTTTAGGGGTTTAGGGTTCCAAGTTTAGGGTCGATTTATTCCCCCGCCCCTCCCAAAGCCTTCTTAGCAACCCAGGGCAACCGTAGGATACGAAAAACGCCAACTTAGGGGCTGAGTACCCTAGCCCAAACAGGGTTAACCTCTTGAGTTCTAGTAGGATTACTAGAGCCCCAAAAAGGTCAAAGGCTACCTACTCGGCCACTAAGACTAGGGTTCTTGAAGAAGGTTTAGAGTTTAATGTAGGGGCCTTAATAATTAGAAATAGGAGTAGTTCCCTAAATTAGGGTCCCTTGTAGGGCCTAAACCCCTAAACCCTAAACCCTAAACCCTAAACCCTAAACCCTAAGCCAAGCGGCAGCTTTGTAAAGCCACAGCCCACCTCCGAAACCGCCGCCCGAAGCCTTCGAGCTTCCTCGCCCTCCTGGGGTGCGGGCAAAAAACGACGCAGAACCCCTAGGGCTTGGGGTTTAGGGTTTAGGGCTTAGGGTTTAGGGTTTAGGGTTTAGGGTTTAGGGTTTAAGGTTTAGGGTTTAGGGTTTAGGGTTTGAGGGGGTGCTGGTAGGGTTTACCTGGACCCGAAAGAACTTGTATTTTTTAGGGTTCCTTAGTATGATTTCTTTGTTTAAGTCCTTAAAAAGGCAGGTTATTTGGGGTTAAGGTAGGGCTTAGGGGTTTAGGGGTTGGGGGTTTAGGGGTTGGGGCTTTAGGGCTTGAGGTTTAGGGTTTAGGGTTTAGTGATCCGAGGGATCTATAAGGGTTCTGCTCAGTGCTTAGAATTTTGGATCTAGGGTTGCGATGAGATAAGGGTAGGATATGGGGCAAAAGTTGCTCGCAGCAGCGATGCAGTTGCTTAGCAGGCTGAGTATCAGAAGTTCCTTGTCTTCGGAATCTAACCTGAGGAACCTTTAAAAATGGACCCTAAACCCTAAACCCTAAACCCTAAACCCTAAACCCTAAATTAAAAAGGCAGTCAATCTAAGGTATGGGCAGCAAACTGGAGCAAAGGCCTGGAGATACGGGTTCTTAAAGAATGACAGCAACAACGGCCTACTTACTGACCCTAAACCCTAAACGATAAACCCTAAACCCTAAACCCTAAACCCTAAACCCTGTACTGGCAAAGTTCCGAAGAGCTGACGGATGTTGGTAGAGTTCCGATTTCTATGTGTCGACGTTTCTGATTTCTGGACCTTCTGACCTGAATTTAGGGTTTAGGGTTTAGGGTTTAGGGTTTAGGGTGCAGATATTGGCGCGGTTTAGAAGGTACGCCTACGTTGCCGGGCACGTCTATGTGCCTAAGCTGTTCGTGCCCATGATCCTACCCACTTCGGACCTCTGCTTGCGCGGGTAATGTATACGGGCGTTAGTGGTCAGAATAGGGTTCTGGGCTCCTCTATAGCTTCGGAATAATGATGGAAATTATTTAGGCTTCTACTAAAAAAAATCTGGGAAACTGCTTACGGCTTCGGGATCCAGGGTTCCCCTTAACTCAAATCCAAACCCCCAAAGACCACACCCTAGCCTCAACCCCAACACACCAAAACCCTATGCCATTTAGGGGTCCAGGGTTAAACAGACGGGCTCCGGATAACTATATATTTTGGCCTGAAAGTCCCTAAATAGGTACTTTAAAAACAAAGTATGTACTGTTTCGGCACATGGACCCTTAAACACTAAACCCTAACCCCTATGGTACCCTAAATAGAACACGTATGGCACCCTAAACCCTAAACCCTAAACCCCTAACCCTTGAAGGAACCCTTGAAGGAACCCTTGAAGGAAACCTTTTTATTAAAGGAACCCTCAAAGGATCCCCTTAGAGGAACCCTTAAAGGAACCCCCTGAGGGAAGGGTGAACCCGAGGATTGAAACCTGACGGTCACTTTAAGGTTTAGGGTTTTGGGGTTTAGGGTTTAGGGTTTCGGCTTAGGGGTTTAGGGTCTAGGGTCTCCGCTTAGGGGTTTGGGGTTTAGGGTCTCGGCTTAGGGGTTTAGGGGTTTAGGAGTTTTAGGGCTTAGGGGTTTAGGTTTTGGGGTTTAGGGGTTTTAGGGATTGAGGTGTTCAGGGGTTTAGGGGTTTAGGGGTTTATGGATTAAGGGTTTAAGGCTCAAGGCCTAGGGTTTTAGGGGTTTTAGGGGTTTTAGGGGTTTTAGGGGTTTTAGGGGTTTATGGTTTAAGGCCTAGGGGTTTAGGGGTTCAGGGGTTTTGGTTTAGGTGTTTAGGTGTTTAGGGGTTTAGGGGTTTAGGGGTTTAGGGGTTCAGGGGTTTAGGGGTTTTAGGTGTTTTAGAGGTGTAGGGGTTTAGGGGTTTAGGGGGTTTAGGGGTTGAGGTGTTCAGGGGTTTAGGGGTTTATGGATTAAGGGTTTAAGGCTTAAGGCCTAGGGTTTTAGGGGTTTTAGGCGTTTTTTAGGGGGTTATGGTTTAAGGCCTAGGGGTTTAGGGGTTTAGAGGTTTTGGTTTAGGTGTTTAGGTGTTTAGGGGTTTAGGGGTTTAGGGGTTTCGGGGTTCAGGGGTTTAGGGGTTTAGGGGTTTTAGAGGTTTAGGGTTTAGGGTTTAGGGGGTTTAGGGGTTTAGGGGGTTTAGGGGTTTAAGGTACCTCCAGCTACCTAAAAAGTAGGTTGTACGGTGCACGGTATTAATTAAAGGGTT